TCTCTCTCTCTCTCTCTCTCTCTCACTCACTCCCTGTCTTCCTTCCATGCGTGGGTTCGCTCTCCCCCCCCTTCCTCCCTCCCTCCCTCTCTGCCTTCGTCCTCTTTTTCTCGTTTTGCATAGGTATCGTATTTTACGCGATGCACTCGTCCGCAGAATTTTATACATCGTTCGATCCTGATCGCTCTCGATCCTCTCTCTCTTTTTTTTTTTTCCCCTACCTTTCTAGCGACTCGCATCTTTTCCAACTCACGTTCCTATCTTTTTGCGAGAGGAAAAAAAAAAAACGATTCTTTTACCGCTTTTTTAAAAATAATCAAATTTCTCGATTAATACGCGATTCTAGATTGATGTAGATTAATTGTTAATCTTGGTTTAATTTACGTTTCGTCTTTTTCTAGTTCTAAGAATAGAAAGGATAAAGAGAGTAAATTTAGCCGAGATTTAAAGGTAATCCGCATTGGTAGAAATGGACGATTCGCTCGGTCTTCCTGGTTGCCTTTTATCTTGATTTTTCTTGGAACACATTATTTCGTTTTAGAGCCGTAAAATTAGTGCTGAATCAAAAATATAACCCAGAGTATATAAAGCTTATGCAAAACGTTATTTAATTATATCCTATCTTGGAACAAGTTATGATGACCAGAAGATCGAAAGTAGCCCTTGCCACGCGTTAACTCGTGCAATCAGGACGTCAAGAATTATACGTTTAAATTGTAGCAGCCAAAATATCGAGATTATCGCCGTATCGGTTAATTGGCACGTCGAAGATGAATTACAATCCGAATGACGCAAAACGCCACTTGGGTCTTTCTCAGCTCCGGGTGTCTTCATCGTTTCGATCCGATCGTCCACCTTTGTGTGCTATAAATAAAAGTATATACCACACGCGCTGAAAGTTGCATAGGAATGTGTCGTGCCTTTGACAATCGAACACCGGCACGTGCCTCGTGAATAGGCGTTGCTAATGGCACTGAATTAAAGTTGAAATAAACTCGGATAACGCTTTCGCCGGGAAACCGCAGTTAATTTACTACCCACTCAGTCGTCAAGCTCCGTCGTGCAAGAGTCACGCTTTTATTTCCCTGGGACGGAGGGTATCGATTGGAGAAATCGTAAGGGCGAAACAGTGAACCGTCCCCGCGATGACGTGTGATTCCGTGAAAGCGGGCGATGTAATCAGTGAATCGCAAGTTCGATCCTTACCGTTCATATATACCACATATATCGTTCTAATTGTAAAGCTTATTTTTCGTTGCCGCATCAAACGGATGCTAGAACTTTTTTTTTCGCTTTCGTCAAATATCATATACATGTATACATATATTTATTTCCACTTTGAGTTCTGAAAGTGCAATACTAGTTTCAGCTGGAAAACAGACCTTTCAGAGAAGAGGACTACATTAATTTAGAGATCTATGAAAGAAGGGAGGAGAGTCTCGTAAGGCCGGAATCAGACTGCGCATTGAAGATTGGGATTGAAGATTGAAAGATTGGATTTTGGCTAATCAAAGTAATAGGAATTAAAATTTCTTTTTCCTCTCTCATTTGTCAAATTTCAATTTTTAATCGTCAATCTCAATTTTCAATGCGTAGTCTGATTCCGGCCTAAGGCTTGTTCTTTTTGCCTGCACTGCCTGAAGTGGTGCACACAATGCAATAAGTTGAAGTGAAACAGATATATAAGTTTGTTGCACTAGTTGAGCAAAAAGAACAGGCCTATAATCTCGCCTAGTACACAACACTGGGCTGGAACTGACAACCTGGTGAGAGAGTCACAGAAGAGTTCTTTATTATCCATATAGATGATGTTTAAGAACTTACGTGATCCTATCCACACTTAACACTATTATTACTGTTACATGCTCTCTAAATTCTTTGGAGCGGAATCTCCCTCTAAACTCTCTAAAGAATAAACATATTAAGCCGGTCTTAAAAAAGAGTGGCTAAATTTCTCAGCCTTTAAGAGTGAGATTTTATACTTTTTAGAGTGACAATCTAAAATTTTAGAATAGGTGTTAATACATTATTAATGTATTGCATATATAGTAATAAAGAAATAATAAATGCGTTAAGAGAACGAACGATAGAATGACAATCTAAAATTTTAGAATATGTTAATACATTATATTAATGTATTGTATATATTAATAAAGAAATAATGAATGCATTAAGAGAACGGACGATAGAATTGAATGTCGGTGAAATCAAGATTGTATTGTTATTTTGATACTAATTTTTCTTACTCAATCAGATGTTTCCAAAACAAATTAGATTATAGAAAAAAAATGCTACTCTTTTTTTAAAAAAATAATTTATTCTTAGCGCTTTATTTCAAACCAAATCTTTGCTACATCGTTGATTCAGCTTAAATTTATATATTATCCTCTTTTGATGTATACATTTTTAAATTCCATTAGAAACATTGTATTATCTTATTGCGTAAAAATAAAAGATCGATAATAATTTATTAACAAATCAATATTAGAGTTACTTTTTAGTACAGTTATTCTTTTTTTTTTTTTTATTAATGTTTTTTCTCTAAATCTTTTTGGTTTTCAATTGTATCCTCTACAGAGCTTTTCCTTCGATTTCCAATACCGCGACACAACGACGCGGATTCATCCGCACGATTTGTTACGCGGCACGGAACGAGTCCATCCGAACGAGCTTCTCGCTCGCGCGAATTATTCGCGATCGCAATTATAGCAGGACCGGTTGTCTACGAAGGAGCCGGCGACCCCGACGAGACGCCAGCGAACTGCACATAATTCGCTCGCTGCAATTGTGCATCTCCCGTCCACCCACGCGGCCGTTGCATTACGCGTGGTGTCCCACGCGGACAACGCGAACTCTCCTCGCGCGCGTATTCCGTCGTCTCTCTTTCACCTTGCAAGAGGATTTTAGGAGCTTTGCTGGAACTGGAACTGCTAGAATTATAATGCGACGAGTAAATCGGCACTGACTTTTTCTGTGTCGTGCTGGATGCAGATATTGAAAAATTAATTAAAAATACGTAATCATCGAAAATTTCATTCAAAAATAATTACAAAGCATAGAACTTTCCTATAGAACTAACGAGAAAGGTGTCGGTTGTAGAACTGTAATAAGTAACTAGCTCGAGGTTTATCATATATGTAATTTAAAAACGTAATCTCAAGAATTTATATACACTTTTTTTGAATATATGTATACATAGAAGACGACATTTGGAGAAAGTTTTCACACGGAAAGTATAAACTTCTAGTCCCAGTGACTTTTTGCGGAGACTATACACCTATATATATATATATTCTTAAATGTCAACAGAATGCATGACCACCTCAGAATAACACATTGGTTCAATTTATTTTTCAATAATTAGCGATCACTACAAATCTTTCGTATCGAATAGTCGTCTATACTATATACGTAGCATGTGCATTCAGCTTGTTATTCGTGTCTTCGTGACGATCATATTACGACAGTACGACGGATCGTAACCCCGATCCGCGACATTACGTGGCCGTCGATCTCGCAATGTATATACCTTACGTTTACGCGAAGACTTTACACGTGAGGCAGCCATTTCACGCACGAGGAGGCGTTTACATAATAGATCAGTCAACGACGGAGCGCGTAAAGTCGGATCAATGATCGACACGTGATATTGATCCTCTTCTCGGTTTCTATTGACGGGGACAGTCGGGAGGAGAGTCCCTCGGAGATTCCCATTTTAATGTCGGGCGCGTTTTACACGAAAAGCCACTGATCGATACGTATTCCCCAAACCGTATCCTAGAGATGCTGCCTGCATCTCTTGAGGGCGAATTCCCCTCGACGAAGACTCCTAATTGGCATCGACGGAAACGTCCGACGCACGAAAGCGTTGCGGAACTCGTTTAATTCTTGTACCGAATTTCTCGTAAATTACAATTCTGCTTCTGTGGAGAATTGTAATCAGAATAAAAAAGTATTACACCACTATTATATATGCAATCAATTTTAAGTAATAATGTTCGAAATATCATTAAGGCCCGATTTTTCATTATCTGGTTAACTTGTGGTTAAGCTTAACCTGATGTTTTATCCAATGGGCTTCATCTATGGTGATGTCATGGATAAAGCTCATTGGGTGAAACATCAGGTTAAGCTTAACCACAAGTTAACCAGATAATGAAAAATCGGGCCTAAATGCGACAACTTTTTAGTCAAAGTGATATTTTAGTAAAAGTAGAATCTTGTTGGACAAGATATATAAAAATAATAATCGTCATTTTAGTCTGGAATCGTATGTGGTTCTTTAGTAGGTACAGTCTCGAAGAAATCAGATTATCCAGTAGAAAGGGCGCTCGTTTCCTGTACGCATCCTGGATCAATATTTCAGGCGCTTATTGGTGCATGTGATGCACATCGTGCACAGACTTACGCCGTTC